TTTTAAGAGGAACTCACAAACCTGAAGTACTTCAAAGTGCAACCTTTCTGCACAACAGATGTCATCAGTGACACTGCGCAGCTCTAAGTATCAATACACACAGATCTTTGCCTGGTGTTGAGATTAATCTCTGCTGCAACTATCCTGTTTGAAAAGATTGCAGGAACAATTCTTTTTTCCCCAGTGTGTCACAAACTTTGCTTACAACGCTCCATATCATATGCAAATATGACACTTATTTTAAACACCTGATGGAGAGAGGAAACGTTTTCCCCTGAATATACATCAGAGGGACATAGTGGAAAATGGATACCTTAGCTTTTCTCTTCTTTGAAAATTTAAAGCCAAAAAATAAGAACTGGGTAACGGAAGTCAAAAAATGAAATCCTGTACAAAGCACGAACAAAGACTTTTAGTATTAGAAAGTAATCATTTTACCTTTGGAAATGGTTTTGGAAATGTTTCCGTTGTGGTCCTGACTATAGGTTTTCATTGGACTGAGAGCATCATTTTCCTCTGGGCATAGATAAACTTCAATAGGTCCTTGAGTACTAGATAAATGTATCAATGCACTCTGCTAACAGAACAAAGGGCAGTAAGATGTTACAGTAATGTACACACAGAACACTGAGACTCACAGTAAGTTCTTAAGGTGGTGTGAGTAACAAAACGTTTGAATGCATGTTTTTACTAATCAAAAAAATCTGAAGTTCGCCAGACAGCTGTGAAGACATGAAAGACTTCTGAGATTTGTGCACTAAGAGAGCACACAAAAAAAGAGAAGTCCATCGTGTGTTGTATCATAGCCAGAGAGTTATAAAGGACTGGACTCCTAACGTTTTCTAACACTCATAATAACCTGAAGTATTCTGGTGGAACAGAACTATGGTATCCAAGTCATTATTTATAACACTAACATTGGATGAGTCTGTGTAAACACTTCTGCTTCAAAAAGGTGTCAGAACAACCTTTAAAAAAAGAAAACCTTTGGTACTGATTCACACTGAAATCAAATTGCTGAAAGTTCACCTGTTCACCAGGGGATGTTTTTCCAAACAACAACAAAGGCATTTTCATCACAAAGCCTGTTTAGAAATGTACTTCTGCTCCCCCCTCAAAGAAGGAAAGGAAGCAACACTAATTGTAAAGATGTTCCTGACAGCAGGATCTCCTAATTCATTTCAAGTTTTCTTAGTTTTCACACACTGATGCAATAAAGCGAGATGGCATATTGCAGACAGACAGAAAATCTCTAAAGTTCTTCATAGTGTAATGAGGGAAAAATAATAAATGCCTCTAGTTGAATATAAACCTGCTATGGCTGTATTATATTAATAGAGTTAAAAAAAAAAAGAAAAAACAAACAAACATGAATTCAGATGTTGTATACTTCTTGGCAGGCTTATTTAAAATGCATTTTATTGTGTTCTTTGACAAAATGTTCTTCATGTTATTTATGCTTTGGCAGTTATATGGCACTGTAGGCAGCATTTCAAATACAGAGAACAAGAACATAACAGGGATACCTCAGGGCACAGATAACAGCGAGGAATACTTAGAGTAATGCTGTTGGTAATTAGAGAGCAAGAAGATGGGGAGAACAGAAGCTGGAGAACATAAGGTTGGGTGACTGAGGTAAGCAAAAAAAAGTCACTGAAATATAACTGCAAATGAGAGAAATATATAGAACTTCTGCTGCCTGAAAAAATCAAATGAGTGAACTGGTTATACAGGATAAGGGAGGTCTAGGTACTAGTTTTAATCATAGTGTGCATCTCTCTTTACCTGTCTGATTTCACTCAAAAATGTAGAAGTGTAATGCCTAGGGGAAAGAAACAGAGTTCTATACATATATAGATAGATACTGATAAAAGATACCCCTTCCTCACTGTAGCAATTTTTTTTTTCTTCCTAAATCTACATCTGCATTCAAAAAGGAAGTTAAGGACAGTGACAGGAAAAAAGAAAAAAGATGGAAACCACAACTGAAGAAGTGACAGCATGGAGTCTGTTACTGCCTGCCCAGGAGCAGGTAGCTCTGCGCTTGTGGAACCAGCCCAGTTAGTGACAAAGGAATAACACAGGGGAATGTACACAGCATGGAGGATTTTGTGTTTTAGCCTTATCTCTAAATGCTCTTTGAGTGAAGAAATAAGATGTTTTTTGACTCCCTAAAGCTGTGGCTCATGCAGAGCATTTACATTTGCCCAATACACATGGGTCTGCCATGTTAAATGGGAACTATAATGCAGCACACTTTTGCCACCAAGAGCTAAAATCCCAGGAGCAGCTGAATCATGTGGTTCATAAGACACGAGAGAAATGACGTGAAGCTGCTCCCTGAGGATATCTTCAAACCAAAACCACCTGAAGCGTTTTTCTCTGTAATTGTGGCATCAAGAAAGGAAATGAGAAGCAACTTATTCACCCTAGATATCTACCTGAAATAAAAAAAGAAACAAAAAGAGGAAAAAGGAATGAGAACCAGATGTCCTACAGACAAAAGCTGGCACTCAGAGATAGACTGTGGCTTAAGCAGCAAGGGGCAACAGAGGAGAGAGAGATGAACACAGGCAGCTTCTGAAGTTCTTTAAATAGAAAGGGAAACCCCCAACCTCTACACATTTTATAGTAATAAACAAAAGTGTGCTCGAAGAATGTCAGACATTTTACATAGATGTGTTAAAAAAAATTTCAACAGAAATAATAATGGAAGAAGGAAAGGTCAGAAAAGATTCTAGAACGAAACACAAGCTTCAACAATAACTTTAACACTTTCAGAAAAGAGAATCCTACATGAAACCATATTTCTCTCCTAAACAGGATATCAGTAATACAAGTCCCTGAGATGTTTAAGGCCTTGAGTTATCCAAGAACTTTAAGACTAAAACTGCTTAAAGCTAGAAAAATAATAGTCAAAAGCCTTGAGAGAAAGATTTTACAGGAATTTTCAACCATTGAAGAAGAGCTCATTTTTTTACATAAAGAATGGCAAAAGAGAGTTAGCTGTAAATAGCATGGATTACTCTGAAGGAAAGGCTGGAACTAAGAGAAAAAGATCAAATACAGATTACTTTGTGCAAAATGATTAAGATTCCTTTTTTAAAAAACATCTGAAGTTTTTAAAACAGATAAGTATGGAATTGTATGTCAACAGAATCCAACTTGGGCACCAGTTTCCACAGTAAAACTCAGAATACATTTGCTCTGTGTATGGAAAAATGATGTATAGCCTGGCAGAATAACCCACATTCTCCTTACCTCCACTGGGTCAGGCACTTCAAGTCTTGTTTCTGGAGGAGCTTTCACAACTATAACAGTTTGGTCTTTAAGGCCACTAATTTTTCTAATATCTTGGTATGTCACATAAGCTAATGTAATCACGTTAAGGAATTTTCCAACCCAGATTACAATATGTTTAGCTTATTAGAAAAAGTAAAATTTTTGAACTATTTTTCCACTTTCTCACAGCTAAATTACTCTCAGATCCAAGTTTCCTGTTCTCTGTACTGGTTGCAACACTAGTGTGTGAGAAGTTTCATCTAACAGCTGGGGCCAGTGCTGAGTGACAGCAGCAGTTCTATACTCTGATTGCTTCTCTCTCTTCTTCACATGTGTAGAAGTATACAAGCTAAAGCTCAACCTGCAATTACTTATAGTCTGAGTAAAGAAAAAATGTTACACACTTGCAACCAAAATGTACAGAGCTGGAAATCACAGAGAAGCATAATGAAATAAACAGATGTGTGCTATAGATGCATACATGCAACACATTTTTGAAGTCATCAATGAGACCATAATTTAAAATATCACTCGAGGTAGTTTTTTAGGTAAATATTTATTTACCAATTGTTTTAAAGAATTATTTAAAATTACACTGAATAACCTCCCAGTGCAGAAAGTTGATTTCTGCATAAACATGGAATGAATATGAATATTTTGCTGCTTATCATGGATTTGTTCAAACCAAATCAGCATTTTAGTGCATTACTGAATAGAAGTGCCTCAGTCACTGACCTGTGGAACTGAGTGCTCAGAACAGCAAACAGCTGTTATTACATGTAAGGACTGCCAGCTCTTTATTTTTGTCATCACTGAGTTATCTAGCATAATGTTTATGCCATAGCAAAGGAGTCTAATTTATCATTATACTTTCTGAGCATAAATGTGAAATGTGAAAGATTTTGGTATATGTTTCTGCACAGCAAGACAAACTATCCAAGCTCAACACACCAAAACATCTCACACCTAAACTGGACCAAATGCAAAGTAATGGGTCAGGAGGCAACGTGGAATTTCATGGAAATGGCTTTTACCATTTCTACAAGAAGAGTCAAGGTTCTCAAACAATACTACAAGTTACCAGAATAGTGCCTGTCAAGATATGAACAAAGGAAGGGATTGCATGTTTTTCAAATATAATAACAATCTCCAGTGTCTAGCCAACAGGTCCCCAAACTAATGCTGGTCACATACCCAAACAAAGTCACCATCAGTTACTTTCTGACTTTGTTTGTAAAGAGAAACTAAAAAGCACAAAAGCAAACAATGTTTTGGCCCTACCTAATCATAAGGAAAAAGAAAACATCTTCAGAAGCAGAAACTCTGGCCACAGAGGTTAAGCAGTCATTAAGCCATTCCACGGCTTCAGTGATATTAGCTGAAGACAGCACAGAGATGCAATCAGATCCATCCTCAGGTTTAACAAGAGGGTCCAGAGGAGGGCCACAAAGATGATCGGGGGACTGGAGCACCTTCCCTATGAAGACAGGCTGAGGGAGCTGGGCTTGTTCAGCCTGGAGAAAAGAAGGCAGCAGGGTGACCTCATGGCAGCCTTTCAGTACCTAAAGGGAGCCTACAAACAGGAGGGGAATCAACTCTTTGAAAGGGTTGTTAATAGCAGGACAAGGGGAAATGGTTTTAAATTGAGGGAGGGCAGATTTAGGTTGGATGTCAGGAGGAAGTTCTTTACTATGAGAATGGCGAGGTGCTGGAACAGCTGCCCAGAGAGGTTGTGGATGCTCTGTCCCTAGAGGTGTTCAATACCAGATTGGATGGGGCCCTGGGCAGCCTGGTCTAGCATTAACTGGGGAGGTTGGTGGCCCTGCATGTGGCAGGGGAGTTGGAGATTCATGATCCTTGAGGTTCCTTCCAACCCTGGCCATTCTGTGATTAACATTTTTGCTTCCCTTCCTCACTAATTGCTAGTAATACTGGTAAATTAGAGTCAAGTAGGATTCTGGGACTACACTCTCCTACATGCTAATGCCCACAGTGCATTTCTCACCCAGCTGCTGGCTCCCCAGGGGATGAAGTGCAGGGGTCTCTACCCAGTCAGTACTTGAAAAAATAGGGAATCATAATACTGTGTTGTCTCACTTAAATCCCTATGTTACCACCCACTGAGGACAGTGCTGACCCTATTCCCCAGGCCACTTGGCAATCTTGCTTTCATATGCATTTTGAGATATAAGCATAATCAAAAAACATTATCTACATTGTTCAAATTACTTTCTACTGATGTTCCCATACTTATTTCCTAAGAATAAGCCCAGTTTATTAGATGGTCTTTAAGAAATACAATTTAAAGTAATAAGATCTTTCATACCAATATTCATTAAAATATTCTCCACTGCTAGTAGGTGAGAAGTCTATTGAAAATGAGAACTGCTTAATTACAAGAGATTTTAGCAGACAAAATATCAGAAGTCATATGAGCTTTATGCAATTGAGCATTGCTATTACATTAAATAATATAGTCTGGAATAGACATTCTGAGAGTTCATAAAACCTTTATATATCTTTTATTGTACATTCTCAAATCAGAGAAATTTGAATTTTTTTTTGCAAGCTTCATACTAAACTGACTCTCAACTTTATTTTTTCCACTCTGTGCCCATGATGTACAAACACAGTTTAATGCAATAAATGCATTACACAGTGAGTGTACACTCATGAACACACAAAACTCTGTGAGCTTGTAAAGACTCTGTCTTCCCACCTTTTGCACACACAGAATGGAACATGACCTAGGCTGCAAACAGTCTAAAAAGCACAGGGGTTTGGATGTTGTCACTCATTAATCAGCTAGATTCTTGGTTCTGCTTTAGGAGAACATAGATTCATAGGCTACTTCATATACTGCTTTTTTTTGGCATTTCTGAAGTATTACAGGTGCAAGTGTGATTTAAGTAACTTTTAGATAAAAATACATTAAAACCAGTTAGCCAACCTGTGGAATTATCTGATGGTTTGTATCATGTTACTGGAAAGAATTCTCCTGGTGTTAAAGGAACAGCAAGGAAACTGATCCTTGCTGAGGTTTTGGCAAAAAGGATATCTCTGATTCTCTGAGTCCTCTGTTAGCAGCTTCAGGTCCAGTGTGCAGCTTTGGATTAGCTCATCCAGTTTCTTCTCTTCCTGAGTCAGTTCAGTTACCTCCTTCGTGAGGCCTTGACGCTGTGCCATCATGCCACCATCCTCTGACAGACTGCAGCCCCTAGGAATCCAAAGAACAAAGACACCGTTTGAACGTTTGTAAAGCTTCATACTATGCCACAGGAAAATGAAAAAGCAGAGTTATACACTGCAAATCGATTTCTCAGTCCTTTTCCCCTAAATCTGCCCATTGTGTATCAACACAAACTACACTTTCCAGAAAAATAATCTTTTTATTTTGAGAACATGTTTTAGAACTGCCAGCAAGATGGAAAAGTTGGATATTGTTAAGCAGTTACAAAGTCTTGCTTCTAACGCCCCTCTCCTCTAAACACATCTTGAAAAAGAATGAGGAAGACAGTAGGTAAAGATGAGTACATAAAAACTTCTTCCATCTGCAGAAACAAATCAGTTAATCCAGCTTTCAGACAAATGTGGATTTATAATTTCCCCGACAAACACTACTTACACACTGAAAGTCTGCCTTAACTATCTGAAAAAGAAAGCTTTATCCAGATAGAAGACATTCTGGATGATTACTTGAAGCAAAGTGCTATAATAAAAGGTGGGAGAAGTGTTGCTACCCTGTAACAGTGAAACCAGCCAGGAGGAATGGAAAAGGATAATGAATGCTCACATCCACTGAATGTTGTTTTTGGATTTTTTCTTAATGAGATGGATGCCTTCCAGTACATTGGTGATATCGTAAATCCTCCTTTTTTGCACCTTGAGGACCTCCGCCGCTCTGTTCAAATCTAAAACTCCATCAGGAGATTGGCTCAGCAACTGAATGAACTTCTTTGTAAGGAGGCCAAGCGATGTATCATACCGAGTCTTTTCTGAAGGAGATTTTGGGGCTTGGAAAAAAAAAACAACAACAACAACAAAAAAACAACAGACGAATAGTTTTCTCATATTAGTTCCAAAAGCAGCATCCAGTAATGAAAGGATACACATTACAGACATTTCTTTCATTTTTACTAAGGAAATCTCTCAAACCTCTGCATTAAGAGGCAACTTACCATTGGGTATTTATTTGTATTTCAAGATGTACTTTTCCAAAAAATCACAGGTACATGAGCAAATACGTACTTTTTTAAATGCAAATATTTCCATTAGTCTGACAGTTGCATATAGCAAAATTCTGCTTAGGCTTTCGCTATGTGAATTCTTAACAGTATTTTTAGTATCTATTTATCCTGGCAGCAATGCTTAAAAAAAAAAAAAACACCCAATCACTCTTTTTCATCAGGCTGATAGCCAGCTTTCATCAGGGTTTGATTTTTCCCTCTTGTAAGATAAGTGCTTCTCATGCAATTGAAGCAGACTTAGGTGTACTTCAGCGGGAGAACAAGATGACAGATTCCATCCGTGCCGGTCTTCATGATTTACAAAAAGCTCAATTAGATGAGATTGACGTGAGATGCAATTTATAATCATTTCTCCATAACCAAACAATGTTCAAACTAGACAACAATATCCACTTCTATTAAATAGGAAGTCTGCAAACAGTTTGAATCTCATGATTCTCTATTTTCACATGCAAACGTAACATCAATATATTTAACAGAAGAGCTTTTAAGAGTTAAAATATATAGATCAGAAAAAAAAAATCAATTCTAAACATTCAGGGCTTTTCTGTCAAGGGAAATAAGACAATCGCTATTACAAGTCTGCTGGGTTGAAAGCTTCCCCATGGAAAGATCATCACTGTTATCAAAACAGTCGCCGTACTTCTCAAATTTGCATTAGGTTAGGTGAAGTATTGCACAGGATGGATCTCTGGCAGATCCGGTGGCCACTATCATGTTTTCAAGGTTCAGGTCCCACACTTACTTGTAAAAGTCAATCTAAACTGACATCCTACCTAAAAGCAAAACTTCAGGCTACCACTTTAAAGAATATGACAGCTTTTCAATGAAAACCAATTGATTGTCGGCTCGCAAAGAAAATCTGTTTTATCTTATTCTTTGGTAATCAGAGCTTGCCTGCACTTAAAAACAGGAAAAGTCATTTCAATTAGGTGACCATGTATATTGAGAGCCAAATGAGGGCTTGTTTCTGTTTACTTGTTATTTATATTTAGGGTTTGGGAAAGAATAAGAGGATCGGCATGGGAAGAGCAACAGGCTACACAACAGCCACCCACCTCAATTGGAAGGCATTCCAGCAAGGAAGTCTTCTGTACTGACTTATTATCAATACTGCAACAGAATCCTATGCTCTGAGTGGTATTGAACTTGTGTGAGAATACACTTCAATTTAAAAATAGACTTCACATAGCTTAATGAAATTTGGTTTAATTAAAACAACTGTTGTTTAAATTCTCTTCTTAAAGCCCATATTTTCAGATAATTTCACATTCTTTCTCTGTCCCAATTAAAACAAACATTTAGGAAGGAAGGGGAAGTAGCTACCTCTTCATATCTTTTTCCCTTCAAACACTACCCCTTGCTGCCCCAATGTCTACCTTTCCCCAGTTCTTCTACTGCATACTCCTCCCTCTGCAAGCATTCAGGCAATTCTCCTCCTGAAATCCTCAAAACAAGTGGCAAAGCCACATTCTCCAGTTCCTGCTGCAGAAAATCTACTTCCTTAGGCAGTAGCAATGTAAAAAAAAAAAAAAAAAAAATCAATATTTGCAGCACCTAAACAGTGACAGCAATAATCTAGTCATTCTGCAGGGACAGAAGACAATTCAAACTACACAAAAAGCATTTAGAGTGTCACACGATTGAAGCACAGCTACTGCTCTTTGCAAGTCCCTGCCTGGGAAAAAAGCTCTGCCAAGCAGCTACTGCATGTTAGCAGAGGAAGAGGAGGCCAGCTTTATAAGCCCTACCTCATAAGTGCATTTTAACCCACTATAATATCTGTATTCCTCAGCATCCATTTCTCACAGGAGCCCCCAAATACACGTTCTTGGCTAAAGAGGACTCCAGGGCAGCCTGCAGTGGGACAGATCGAGCAGCCAGAAGCCCCTGCAGCCTTTCAGCAACTCTCTGCCAATCAATGTGCTGCAACCACGTGGTGCACTGGCTGGCTGCGTGGTTGAATTTGGTACACCTGCATCCAGATGAGTACAGCAATAAAAATATTATTCTAATTTTGAATCTGAGTCAGCAGTGTGCCCTGGGAGCCCAAAGGGACAAGCGGACCCTGGGATGCATCAGGCCCAGCACTGCCACCAGGCAAGGAAAAGGGCTGTCCCACATGCTGTGCAGCCTCACGCGAGCACTTTATGCAGCTGTGGGTGCCACAAGGTAAAAGGGACATAAAGCTACTAGAGATCATCCAAAGGAGGGCTTTGGATGGTGAAGGGTCTGGAGGGCAAGACATATAAGGAGTGGCTGAGGTCCCTTGCCTTGTTCAGCCCAGAGCAGAGGAGCTGAGGGAGGCCTCATGGCCTCAGGAGTGGAGAGGAGGGTCAGTGCTGAGCTCTGCTCCCTGGTGGCAGTAATAGGGCTCCAGTGAATGGCATGGGGCTGTGTTAGGGGAGGGTCAGGTGGGTGTTAGGAAAAGATTCTTCACTGACAGGGTGGTTAGCCCCTAGAACAGACTCCCTGCAGTCATGACCAAAGAAGCATTTGGACAATATTCTCAGACAGAGGGCTTGAATTTTGGGTGGTCCCACGTGGAGCCAGGAGTTGGACACTATGATCCTCGGGCTTCCCTTCCTCATGGGATAATCTATGATTCTATCATTAACTTGGCAATGCATCACGCTGTACTAGTTCAATCTTATCTCAAGGTAGTAAAATAAAAAACCTGCCCCACAAAGCATATCACAAATTCCCTTACTTTTTGGACTATCTGGACTTCTTGTTGCAGCTCTTCCTTTCCCCTTTGGAGTCTTTAGTCCTTCAGCAAGATACTGGTGGCCACTTTCTCCCAGCTCCAGCCTTCGTTTTGCCTATTCAAACAAACAAACAAACCAAGAAGTGTTAATAAGAGCATTTCATTTCATCAAACAGAATACTGGCACAATGGGAAGGGCAGATTTCACAACACCTGTAGGTACAGGCTTTTACCCCACATTCATCATGAGGACATGTGTCTATTTACTGTAAACCCAAAGTGTACTAAATATTTCACTGTCAAAGCAGAGACCAATTGTTTTGTTTAAATAATTCAACAGATCTTTAAATTTGAAAACATTTGTAAAACTTTCACCCAAGTTGAAAACATTTCAGTTGAGAAAGCTAAAGCCAGTCTCTCAAGTACACAAATACATACACCCACAAAGCTACTTTCCTACTGAAAAGGATCATAGCTATATAATATCCATATTATATCCATGTAAGTTTGAGCATAGGTAGCAGTAGTGCAAGTTAAATTCTTCCTTTGCCCTTTGAAAGGATGGCTTTGAGAGCACCAAAAAGTTCCAGAATTATCAACATTCCATCAGTGAAATACTACACAATATATCAAGAGAAGAAGTTAGCTAACTGTTCTCCTCTGCTTGTCAGCAGTTTTTCTCCTAATCATGGTGGTTGTGCTTTCAATGATTTCACACTTGCATTAAAGCAAGGTGGAGCAAGAATAGTATCAGAAAGATGATGCCTGAAGATGAGCTGAACATTCCATTCAGCTCAAAGGAAAACTGTGTTCAACATTGGAATTAAAAAAAAAAAAATAAACTACTAAACTATGTAACACACAAACTACAATGAAAACCATCACTGATATGAATTTTCTTCCTAGACAGAAACAAAATCTACTGCCTTTGGAAACAATTCTTAACTCTTCCATCCTGCTCAAGTTACTGAAATTTGATATAGGGATATTTTGATAGCCTAAGAATGGAAAGAACATTGTCTGACTAGATAGAAAAGAGCAAAAAGGAGTTTTATACCTAATATTTTAGACAATGTAATTGGATTAAATTAAGATTACAGGTATTTCACAAGGAAAAATACATTTTCCTATTTTTTTTTTTCCAACTAAGTGGTTTTCCAGCCTGCAAACTGTAAGAGAAAAGAAAGGAGGGGTGAAAAGGGAACAATTCAGGGTGTGGGAATACTAGGCCAAAGGGATACAATTAAAGATAAAAGAGAATCTCAAAACCAGGTGTGAGAAGGAGGGAAAATGCTAAAGACTAAAAATCCAGAGGTTTGCAGCAACTTCATCCATACAAAAAAAAAAGAAACCCTCAAGTTTGGACTACATATCAAAACTCTTTGTCTGAACTTGTCTGGTAACACATGAATGACAGCATTTTGCCTTTGCTTTTGTGGTTAAACACTTGGAACATTCTCCTGTGAACTTCAAACAATTGCATTTGGTTGTTAGTGAACATAAACAGCATCCTTCAGCTGGGCACAGCAGCACAAGCCTGGCTGGATTTATCTAGGGGTACAGCAAGCAACATGATATTGTTAGTCTCACTGCACAGAGAGATACAAAGCAAAATATTTTAGAAGAGTTTAAAATAGCTTAGTGAAGTTACCAAGAAGCAATTTTCAGAAATGTTTTGGAATGTTTAATTTCTGGCCAGATGTTACATGTCACTCAGCAAGTACTTTGTTCCCCTTCCTGTTTTACAAACTTCATAATTGATAAGATCCAGGACTGAAAGTGGTACTGTGTGTCATCTTCTTCTTCCCCAAGTTACAGACCAAAGATTTTCTAGTACCTTTTCCTCACTCTGGAGTTTCTGGGTAATTCATTATTTTCTTTCCCACCTCCAAAATTATTCATAGTGCTTTCTGATGCAAGACTTCCCCTGAGAAATGTCAACATTTATTCAGCAAGTGGTAGAATCATAACCATTTTAAAAATTCCAATTAATCACAGAATCATAGTGGCCTGGGTTGAAAAGGACCACAGTGCTCATCCAGTTCCAACCCCCTGCTATGTGCAGGTCGCCAACCAGCAGACCAGGCTGCCCAGAGCCACATCCAGCCTGGCCTTGAATGCCTGCAGGGATGGGGCATCCACAGCCTCCTTGGGCAACCTGTTCCAGTGCATTTCCACATCTACGTGGAAAAACTTCCTCCTGATATCTAACCTAAACCTCCCCTGTCTCAGTTTAAAGCCATCCCTCCTCGTCCTATCACTATCCACCCTCGTGAACAGTCATTCCCTCTCCTGTTTATACACTCTCTTCAAGTAGTAGAAGGGAGTTTGTGTAACTTGCTTATTTCTGCTGGAGCACTATATCCATTATTTGCACAAATTGATATTATTTGCACTTATTTGCATTGCTTCATCAGTCATAGCACACAGAATCTTCCAATAGAGCAACACAGGATCTGATCATAAGCACCCAGCCAAAGGACACCAGCAGAAAGCACCGCAGTGACAAAGATAAGACACCGAGAACTTTTCAGTGACATGAAACCCAAATTAAATAAATGGTAGTCAGATTCCTCAGAGCCAGGTGAAGCTGTGAGATACAACCAGGAACCCACTGCTCAGAGCAGATCGCTAGGAACAGGTGGCACATCAGGTCCGACACAGCTATGTCCTCATAGCTTCAATCAACACCGAATACAAAAAACAAACAAACTAAATAAATAACAAACAGATACCTACCACAATTAATCCCAGAGGCAAAATTACAAGAATATCTTCAAAGGAACATTTGGCTTTATAGGAAAACAGTTTAGAAATTACTGGGATAAGTCAAGTATTTTCAAGTAGGCACAACCTGATGCAACTCACTTTATATGCTGAGACAGTCTGAGAGATTAACTTGTAGGAACAGGTTGGAGGCAGGTACACTTGCAGAAAACCCAGCCCAGCACTGAGGGCTGCTGAGTGGGAGCAGTGGGCACCTCTTATCCCCCTTGGCATTTGTGTGGCTCCACTTTCATGTCACACAGTAATTTAAAAAAAAAAAAAGCCAAAGTGTTACCCTGTAAGAGCACAACAAAGTGCTCGGTGTTAGGCAACAGTCAGCATGGGGTTTTGTGAAGACAGCAGAGAAGGAAGTGCAGCAGTGGGTAACAGCCAGCATCAGCTTTTGAAGGCTGAGCTGTGTGAAACCAAAGCTTTTTTTCTTTGAGAGGGTTTGAGGGAAGAAGCACAAAAAAACATCTTCTAATTCTTTCCAATGACAAAACCACAGAGCAAAACTTTGCCAAACTATGTGTTGAATTTTTTCCTGCTAGATGCCTCCCTCAGCTTCTTCACAGGATGCAAAGCAGTTGCACAGTCTGCAGAAGACAGACCTAAGAAAAACTATGGTCTGAAATACTCCTGCACCCGTTATGCACTTGAGCAGATGTGAAATTTGATAGAAGGACCATCTCAGACAGGCGTACGTATTTCTATTCCCTTAAAATCCCAAATTTACAAACACTTGGAAAAGACCCATGGATATATTTTCAAAATAAACATGTACGGCCAAATTACATTTTAGCTGCGGGCACCACAGCTCTTGTGCTGTCTCCTAGAAGTCCCATCCAGAGCAGGACACATCTCATGCCCCTGCTCATTTCCAGAGCACGCCATCAGAACGTAATAGAGCAGCAGCTGTCTCATTTGTATCAAAACAGACAAAAGTTGAACTCTGAATGAGAACAAAAATTAAAATGGGACAAAGTTTGCAGAGATGAGAGCAGAAAATAACTCACTCCAAGAAAAATGGGCTGAGAAGTCACAAAGCAATGCCAGTTAGAGGTTGTCTGGGCTGAGGAAACAGGAAGATTGAGAATGACCAAGCACAGTGAGGAAGGAGTTCTGTACGTAGACGATAGCTGCTGGTGAGCTTGGAAGCAAGTCAGAGAAATGTGTCTGAGCGCTCAGCTGAGCCACTGCTGGTGACTTGGAGCAAAGACCAAGCTGAGCAGGTTAAGTAAGAGCAGATGACTAAGCCTCATGTTGGCTCTAGAAGATATTACAATTGCTAGGAGCAGATAAAATGGCAGCTTTTCTGTATGCCACCACAACGCAGATATTGCTGGGGAGGGGACCCAAGCCTACTCAGACAGCACAGATAAATGTTGGCTGCAGCAAGAAAGTCATCACACAAATGCTTTATAAGTCCACGTTTAGTTTTGATAGGCATTTCTTTACATTTTCAAAATTAAGCAATCATTTTAAAGCACAGTTTAAAAGCAGAAGTTCTGAGGCATGGATTCTAGAAAGTTGTTCCAGAGGTCGAGAGCTGCAGAGAAGAAAGCAAGCATCTTGAAAGCATAAATTAAGCCTGATGGTGAAGGAATACAGGAGAAGAAACAGAGGAAAAGGGCACCTCTGGGTGAATTCACAGAACTGTTCAAATGCCAAGAAAATTTCTCCTCCACTGACTGAGGAGATACAGCTCCTTCTTTCTGAAGATGTTCAATTGCACCATCTCTGATACGTGAGGGCCACGGTGAGGATCGAGCAAACAGCACACCTTAACACCAGGAAAGACCAAAAAATAGGAAAAGGGGCAAAGAGGAAAGCAGGAGAGCCCTCTGCAGGGGCTAACTCAGAAGTGAGGAAACACTCAGGTCATCAATAAGGTACAAGACAGCTATCGGAGTGCTGCCTTCAGACTCCTCGTGACAACTCCTTGTTTTGTACCTATTTCTGTTGAGCAACGATCAAGTAACTTCACAATCCAATCTCCTGGAAAGGAAACGGATTTTTCAGTGAGGATATCTCTACCCCAATTGTCTACACACAGCTACCAATAATTTAAACCATTGTTTCAAAAGTTAATCACGAGAGGATAAAAACATAAAAAGAGGGTTTAAGAAAAGAAGTCGGGAGATACAGGAATAGATTGGAATTAAAGCACTTGTATGCAAAAAGAACTTAAAGTATGTTTCTAAAAAGGAGGTTCTGAGAAGCCTCTCAAATCTCCCCCAGAATATTCCTTCTCTGTCAAAAGTATGTGTTCCCATACAAAACAGAAAAGGAATGGCACTTTAATTACCTCAAATTACATTTTACATATATAGCTCATCCACTGGACTA